TCTCTCTCTCTCTCTCTCTCTCTCTCTCTCTCTCTCTCTCTCTCTCTCTCTCTCTGCTTTTTAAGAAAAAAAGGAGATTTACCATGTCAAGATAGATGATCTTTACAGACCAGATTTAGCAACTTAATGAGACTCAAGATTACCTACTATCTATCACATCCAGCTATACCAGGAACTACTTGAGATCAGAAGAAACTTTCATCAGTAAAGGAAAAATCAGTCAGAATTCTGGCACAACTCTTAACTTAGAACAATGCTAGAGTCATATTAAGTACTGCAAATTATTCCTATTAGACAAAATGTCATTTTTCTGATTTATTCGGAACTTGGTTGCGTCTCAAATCAGAAAGTTAATAATGATGAGAGTAGTCTTTGAAAAGAAAAATATTTTAAATTACCATAATAAAAATGCTTCTAGATTTATTCACTTGTCAGAAGGTACAAATCTCATATTCTTTATAAATTATGATATTTTTTTCCTTCTGATATTTGGGTTGCTAAGATGTTCTAGCTGACTCGTATCTCATGATATCTTATACACTTCTCTACCATCATATGTTTATTAGCATGTTAAGCATTTATGTTAAATAATTCAACGGTTTGTTTAATCTTTAAAATCATACACAATTTTAATGCATTTTTTGTTATTTTTTATTTTCATACTACTAATAATTAGTATTATTAAAAAATTCATGGGATTTACGCCCATTTCCCAAGGGCTTATGTGCCATCTGATAATAAGTAAAAATCTGTGCGGGGCCCCCAGAGTTCAAAACACTGTTTCCTGGTCAAATTACCTCCTGTATAGAATTCAGTAGGCGCCTGCACATTCCCTGGCGACGGTATTTACTGCATGTTGCAATAAGGGGCATCTCAGCAACTGTTACTCCATGGATCCTGCATAAGAACCAAAATTCCGATTCAGAGAAAGATTTGGCCTGATGGGAAAAAAATAAGAAAGTTTTGTCCTGATTTTAGTGACAGTTTCTTCAAACAGCCAGCAGGGTAGCCACGGACAGTGGCAGATTCAGAATTTATAAATCGTGGGAACTTCACCGATATTAGTGTAAATTCACAGTGGCACAAAAACTAAACATGGGTATTCATTTGGGTCGGATCGGTAAGTTTTTGAGTTAAATCAGATTGATTTACTAGGATTTTATGTTATAACTAGACAAACGATCACAAAACTAAATAAGTTCTGTTTACTTTAGCTTTTCACTTTATTCATTCAAATTATATTTGAGTAAATTTAGAAGAAAATATGAAAGACATTGAAACAAGTATGGCCTGTCAAATAGATAATTTGGTGAAAAGAATATCTCATTTTAAAAATATTCTTTGTTTAACTCAATTATTCACCTTTAAACTTCTTGGGATTTTTTTCTATCTCAATCTTAATAACAACTTCAACAAATTAATGGTTTAGACATACAAAGTAAATACGGAAATAGCCAAATTTATGAAGTGTTACGTTAGATTAATGTATTCCAAATACAATAGTTTGATTTCACGATGCAACTATTTACAATAAGATGAGACTAAGTTTATATTGCTCTATTTAAAATAGTTTACTTAACATTTAATAACTAAACAACAGTACAAAGTTAAAAAAAGATATTCAATAAAAGTATAAAACAAAAAGTTTCACCCTTAAACATTTAATATTACACATTATGTGTTTCACTCCTAACTATGGACAATAAATTTGATTAAGGAATTTGCTTGTAAAGTGAAACAGAAAAGGAAAGATCTTACTTCTTGAAATTTTTGAATAGAGCATGAGAAAAATAGAGGGAACGACTTGAACAAGCAGAGGTGAGAATAAGGAAAGGAATTCCCCTCCAGAGGGATTTGAACCAAGACCTTTGTAGAAGAGAGCTCTGCAAAAGCTTTCCACACTATGAGCACCCACTGGGACCTCATCATAGTGGGTGCTGTTGGTCACTTTATAGACTTTTTAAAGTATTATTTATGCATACATAAGACAATTTGGCCAAAGTCAATGGGTGCTGAAGCACCCATACCTCCAAAACATAGATCCACCATTGGCCACGGGTTGTCATAATCAATGATCGAGGATCTGGGAACAAAGTCGTAACTATAACTCCTTGTGGCATCCCCATATAGTAAATGTAGGAATTGGATAGTGATAGTTTAGGAATTCAATCAACAATTATTAATATCTCTCTTCAAAGCACCTTTCCTAATAGACATGAAGGCACCAGTTATACAGAAACCTCCAGATGAAAAAAGTTGAACATTTTTTTCTAAGAAATTCCAAAAAGAATTAATTTTCTAACAAGCAACAACCAAAAGAAACAACCTAAAATGTGTGGGCAATATGTGTATAAGCATCTGATACTAAACCACTGTCTAATCTCTCTATTTAAGCAGCCGATAGGAGAAAACACTTTTAATACTCACAAGACAAGACAAGACTTAATACATTTTGAATTGAAAGGTTTACAGTAAGAAACACTAACATAGCATACAAACCGAAAGATCAGATCAAGATGGAACACTGAAAATGAAATGTGACTTTTTTCCTTCTAAAGTTTCAATTCCAATAATGTCTAATTTTCTTCATTTTGTCCTTTTTTTTAATAATGAACAGAGGAAAACATGCTGCAATCAAAAGGTAAAAGAACACATAGCAAAACGAAAAAAGATGCATATGCACCGAGAATATCTACATTGCCTTAGAGGTACGGAGTTCATAGAATAAGCAAGATAAAGGGCAATTTCTTTCAAGATGGTAAAGAGTTACCTTATTGATGCTACAGCTACTGATATGTCATCTTTCTCCAGGATCGCTGTGTAGAATCCATGATAATTTAATCGTGCAAGTTGTGATCTGTAAAGATTTTAAGGATCAGTCTGACAGCACCACTTAAGTATCATTGTATTGTGTAACATTGATATGAACTAGTCAAATGACACCATGGATACAGGAAAAAGGTTTCCATCTGTTTTGGCTCGCTGAATCGATGAAACTCCATCCATTTGTTTGCATATTGCCAAACTCCTTAGAACACAATGCTTCAGATAAAAAATTCCTTATAAATTTGTTCTCTATCATTTCAATATAAAATATATTATTCATAAATTTATTGTTAAACCTGCCATTTAACCCTTCCATTCAATTATTTTGAATGAGAACTAAATGAATAAGAAAAGTTAGGCACAATGCCTCAGCTATCAAGTGCAGGGAGTTCAGCAAAAACCACTTATAGCTAATTCCACAAACTGCTTTAAAAGAAAGTGGATAAATAAGTGATACACCACACAGGAAAGCACAATAAAAATTGATGTCAAACGGAAATTACTCACCCCCAGCTGTATATTACATGGGGTATCATATCTATGCCTGTTCTCGGGTCCACCATGGGAAGAAAGCACTCCTCCATAATCGTAAGGGCAACTGCTAACTTTGAGTTGCATTCTGCCTTCAAAGCAATCCGCTGAGCAGAATGAACTATGTGGTCACCATGAATGCACCTCAGAAGAGTCCATGACAAGCCATCAGTCAGAAGATTAATGAGCCCAATTCGAGAGCGAAGACCTTCATATACCTGCAAAAACCCTAAGTTTCAAAAGACAACCAAAATAATTCATAATCAAGCTTGCAATGAAGTTAGTATTTATTTCAGCAGTACTCGGCATTCCTAGATTTTGTGTTCTCATCAAACACAGCACCGCCTAGAGGACGGATTACTTAAACGAACTATAGATTAACCATGTTAAAGTTTCGTAATGTTCCTTTTCTAAAGAAGTTCACATAAGGTTTGTCATATTTTCTCGTTAATCAAAATCTTGGGTCAACAGATTGAATAATATTACTCCATCATGATGCCATCCCTAATGACTCCAATTAACAGTGGGGCCACATTCAAAGCATTTTGCTAATGCATACTGAAAAACTTTCAGACACTAGGAGAACTCCAAAAACATGAACATGATCAAGTATTTCAGAACCTCAGGGAAACCATGAAAGAAGAGAAGACTAAACTGGGTGAAGTTCTTTCATGATAAAATTAAATTCACTTATCAAAGAAAAGATCTAGCAAGTGAACTTAATCCAAGGCCAGACCTGTAACTGATGTTTCAAAGCCACAGAATAGTACTCTGGCAGTAAACAAACAGAGGTTTTCTAATATTACTGTACATGGTGCAAGAATTCCTGTTCTTAGTTTAGCTGTTACTTCTGTGTAGAGTATAGACTGACTGAGATGATACATTAACAAGATAACAGTCATATCACATTCTCCACCAAGTCATATCGCATGCATAAGGAACTAATAACCATCAGATAGCATTTCAAAACTCCACATTAAAACCTTCAAAGAGACAAAAACATGAAAAGTTGATTCATTTGATGTACGCTAATTGCATTCAGGACCTACATCACTGAGCAACCTTGTTTTATAATAGCAGATGTAAAGCTGAGATGTCGACCTCACCTCCTGACAGCTTTCGCTGCAGAACCATGTATCAGAGGCTTCTCCACCTTTTGTAACCCTTAGCTTACTGCATGCTTCATGATCTGTTCACAAATCATCAAGGCATTTACTAACAGAAAAAAAACTAGGAAATTTTTTGGGAAGGAAGAAATAAACCCCCCCCNAAGTATGCCAAACTCAAAATCTTAGTATTATTTGGGACCGTGCATTATGGTAAGAAGTGAACACAAAGCTCCAATAGCAATATTCGGACATTTGAAGGCCTACAACGGGAAAAGAACAGAAACCAAAAAAGACCAATCAAGTCAAGTTCATGGGAGTACGCACATTTATGCTCACACTGTGAACATTTTAATGCACTGGAGGATCTCAATGCTTCACTATATTTAACCACGTCCCCACATTTCCGGCAAGTGCACTGTGGACAATACCAACTCCCTTCAGGAAGTTCCTGAAACAAGAAATGATAAAGTTAATCTACTAGAATCTATATCTCATGTCCAGTATCTTCAAACAAAATGAAGTACTCAATGTATCATACGTAACAAAATCAAAGGAAAACCAGGCCATATGAATGGATATGATATTTTAGAAGGAATATAGTAAATTCATGCCTTGTGCAAAAACAGAAACCACAACATCAGTAAATGAATATAGCACCCAAGGGTGTGGCATAGTGGTCAATGAAGTGGGTTGAGAATCATGAGGTCTCAAGTTCAAAACCCAATTGAGACAAAAAACATTAGGTGATTCTTCGTACCTGTTGCTGGTGGAGATAGCAGGTATCTCGTAGAATTAGTTAAGGTGCGCGCAAGCTGGCCCGGACACCACGGTCATGAAAAAATGAATATAGCACAGGCTTGTAGAGAAAAACATGGTACGATTTACGAGAATGGAAAAAAAAGCAAGAAGAACAATGTAAAACAAATAATCAAGCAGAAAAGACAATACAAGGTACCAAGCAAATCTGAATCAGAACATCAAATCACTACCATCGATTTCGTCAAAACCAGTTCAAAAGCAATGGAGCATTACGGGCATAAAAAACTACCGCAGCAACATGAGTAATACACTAATCATCTTAGATACTAGCCAGTAAGAAAAAAGAGGGTTAACTGATTTCACAGAAACGATCATATACTGGGACCTGGAAGACATGGTGATATAGGTCCATTATTTTTTGTTTGATTCAATTTATAACAGAGATTTCTTTTCCTTTTTTTTTTTTGACAAGGAATGGAGATGGTCTTCTATATGATAAAGTATAACATAAGCAAAATCATACTAGCCAAAGTATCTTTTACCTATAGCAACAAACAAGTTAAGCCGTCTTCCTTGAAGTTTAAGGCCTATATATAGGCCAAGAGTGGGTCCACACATTATGCAAGCTAACATTTTATGCTCGCTCTACGAGACTGATTTTGATTTTAACTAATTCATAATTACCACCATTATGACAGAATATGTGATTGTTAGTTTTAACAAAATGACTTGATTTTTCTTGATCATTAAGATAGTGACTTTTGCTAAAGATCAACAAAGTGATTTACATCACAACCAAAAGTTAAACACCGTCATAATTAGGAATTAAGAAACGTACCAAAAAGCTGGACAAAGATAATTCAGTTGGACTTCAAACATGGTAAATATGTCAACCAACTGAGAAGTCAATAAATTAAGTATAAGTAAAGACTGATGCAAAAAAAGGTTTCCACCCTCTTTAGTTATCCATTTGAAACATGAAAACTTCTTGAAATCCAAAAAATCAAAAGAAACTCTTAAATAAACTGAATTTGCATCAATATGCCCAAACTAACAAGTGGACCAGTTCATATTGTGGAAAAAAAACGAATCCCCAAATGACTAGGTAAAGTACCAATAGAATAGGAAAACATGTGAAAATAAGATATTTGGCCCAAAATTGGCTGAAACAACAGAATATGGGTCAGAAAACGAACTCAATCAGGAAAACCTAGATTATCACTATATAGGGCTTGAAGACACAATTTTGGAAAATCTTATAAGACCGAAATGTAGAACACAGGCTTTGGCATTTGAAGCGGGCTACGTCTCTAGCCAATAACTCATCCTCCAAGTCCCAGATCACCATATCTATGATAAATGTGTCAGGTGTGAAATAATAGTTGTCATACACGCCATCTCTTAGCTATTTCATTTGATAAGTCAATAATTTAAGCTGACTCTTTGCTATTAATTTGCTTTTATATCATCGGAAACAAATACAGTATCAGATCCAATAGAACGACCAATTAACTTATTGTGATACCTCTCAAGAAACTCGCAGACAAGCATTAAAGCAGAAGATTGGAATAGCAAATAACAAGGAAAGGAAAGCCCATTTAGGCCAAAATGAATCCTTCTCATTCCTCTCGAACAACAATGGCCTAATATGTTCATCAGTATGCTACTTATTTTTTAGAACTTTTCTTTGTGTCTAAGATAGTAGATTGAAACCTGGAACAAAATTGGGATGTTCTTAATAATTAGATCAAATTGAATCTACCACAATGGTGAGAGGGATCAAATCTAGAATTGGGATAAAATAGGAAAAAGTGCATACTCCTAGAGTTCTATAGAACTGCCTTACTTTCTAATTAAGCAAGGGCTCATAAATACACTTCAATTTTGCCAGCAAGTGAACTGTAGATAAACACAAGTTGGGACAGCCAAATAAACTTGTCAGATTCTTAAAAAGAGGCCAACCGAAGTCTTGAAGACCCAATTGACACTGAACATGTTAAACTTCATTGATTGCCAAAGATCGGCAGATCAATAATCCATCAGATCAGGGCTACCAAGACCACTTTCAACAGTTTTTAAAAAAGCTAGCAAAAAAACATGGAGAAGAATTTTGTTAAAGATTTAGTAGTTCTAGTTTTGGGCTTCCGCACTCTTCTGAAATGCATATAATACTGCTTCACCTTCAACAGATAAACGGCAACTTTGAGAGGTCAATTACTGTCTTCTTTAAAATAAACTTAGCCATCACTCTACATTGGTCACTGAGGGTGTCTAAGGAACCTGTTGCTACATATGGGATAGCCTATTTAGAAAGTTGATGCTGGTTGTTCACCAGCACTATGATAAAACACAACCGAACTTTTCAAGAATAAGACAGATCGAAAACTGTTTCAGACAAGTATAGTTTCTTCCTAGGGAAAAATACTTTCATAATATAATGTCAGCTAAACCATATATGAAACGCATGCATAAAGCATAAGACGGATCTTTGACATTTAACAATTTACAAATGGGTTAAACATAAATGTTGATCAAGAAAAGAATGCACTCAAGGCAAGATAAAATACCAAACTGGCTAGAGATGGTAAACCAAGTGAAAAGGGTCAGAAGACAAACCGGTGTGAACAAACAAGCTAGATGAAAGGTAGCTGGACAATTATCACAACATATCAACTCGCCACCATCACCACATCGCCCGCAACTGTCATCATTTTGGTCCCTTTCCTCAGCTTGGCCAGTTTGAGGAAGAGCTCTCCGTGCCTTGTATTCATCTGACCAAGCCTCCAGCTGACATAAGGTAAATGGCTTACCAGACTCCATGAAAAGATTCAAACAGGGACGATTGAGCTTAAAACCAGCATGACTTTTGAACTGAGAGATGGATAGCACCTTGTCACAGCAATTGCAGAATATTCCATCCCTAGTTATTATGCCGGTTTTTACCACAGAATCGTCCTTCAAGTTCCGGTACTGGATCACTTCATTTGGGGAAACAACCCCAGAATGAATTAACCAGGATAACACTGTTCTTGAGGCAAAGGTAGGCCATTTTGCTTCGATGAAGTGCTTTCCACCCTTGTTGAGGCTACGTAATAGCAACTTGCAACCGCTTTTCTGGCTCTTCCTTCTCCTCAGCGGTTTAGTTTTACCCCTTTTCTTGCCAGACCTGCATGTCTTGTTTCTAATTACAGCTGAGATTAAGAGATCGTCATCACTAAGACGACATGTCTTAAGTTTCTTTGACCCAATTTTGCGCTTACTTGTAATTGCTTTAAATTCAATATTTCCTCGCAGAGAGTTATCATTGTCAATATTCCCAGAGTTGAACTTCATGTGCACATTAAACTGACTCAATTGCTTAGAACTAGCCAATGTCTGCCTAAACTTCTTAAAATTGCTCTGTTCAGTATTGTCCTGAGACTCTGAACTACGGAAGGACTGCCCTTGATGACCTCTAGCTCTCCCCAGGTAGTCTACTAAATATCCCTTAGGCCTTGAATGTATTTGTAAATCAGATCCACTGACTTCATGCAATCCACTCTTATTATAAGATGTACCAAACTTCTCATCTTGGCAGCCGTTAGTAAATTCCATTTCTGATAACTTTTTTGATTTCTTTGAGGCCTTCCTTTTCAAGACTGAACTTGCTGCAAGAGGTATACTGTTGCTATCTTGCTGAGTAAGAACAGTATTAGCTCCCCTCAGCGAGCTTAGTGCATTTCCTGAACTAATAGGAACCTCAAACAAACAAGATCCAGCATGCTCACTGGTGCTTTCAGACCCACAAACTGGTAAAGGAGCTAAATCCAGGACATCTTTACCATTTCCCAAGAGCTTCCTGTATTTATTAGAATCGCCACTGACAGTATCACTCAAGCACATAGATCTTTCATTAGGATAATAATAATATACGCCATTCAGATATTTGCCTTCTCCCATCTGTGAGTCTGTTAAGTTGAGGGAACTTTCATCACCATACTCCTTGTGGATCCATTTATCTCCCTCAAGACTTGTCAATGCACTATCTGAGACTAAAGAAGAGCTGCAAGGCTGGTTCTGCAACAACCTCTCAGCAAACAGGTTTCCTGCAGCGCCCACAGTCTTTAACGTGTCATTTTTAATAGGAGTGGTGACCAAAGTCATTTTGGCTTTAACTGTTTTTCCTTCTTTGAGAAAGCGTAATGTTTTGTCAATGAACACCACAATTGCAAAGGGATCAAGGAGACACCAAAGCCGAGCCAATGCAGAAGCTGTTTCCAAGGTATCCAGTTTTTCTTCAATCTCCATCACTGTACCAGAGAGGTCACTCAAAAATTGATGCACATCAGACCACAACCTACAATCCATTTCTGGCAAAATACAATCTGCATAAGTAAACACACTCTGCCCACACAAGGTCCAGGCCCTCCAGAATTCACGGATTGGTCTTCCTTCAGGTGACTTGTAAACATACTCCCCAATTCCATGAAATTTATTATTTCTTTTACGCCTTCCAACTACCCATCCTGCTGCTCTGAGCAAACGATGGATGTGGTACCGGAGAAGAGGGCGAGGGTCATTTGGAGAACCCTTAATCGTTGACAATTCAGCTTCATCCAGTTCTACAAAGCAATGGTCCCTCCACTTTGGCTTGGGTGGTCGACTAATCCCTGACGGCTTTGCGGCACTGCCAACCAACAACTTAGTTGCATAGCTCTCCTGAGAAGCAGGTGATGCAATTGCTTTACCAGCTGCATCCTTCCATCCATTTCCTTCTATTTTAGACGATCTTAATTTTGATGAATCCACTTCACCAAGCATGTGACTTTGGTCCAGCACAGCGTGACACTTCTGCAAATACGAACTTGATTTAACACCTTGGTTCGAAGATTCAACTATATGACATATCACACTCTGAGAAGGGCAGAAAGAAGGTTGCTGTAATATATCTGCAGGTACTCTATCCAAAGAAGTTAATGGGTCAGATTCCTTTTCCACATGAATATTGGTTAGCTCTTTTTCACATGGGTCTTCTCTAGAATCTTCCTTTACGTCACGAGAATCATGAAGTAGTGTCAATGCGGAATTCTCAACACACAAATGTCCAGGTTCATCTGTCTGGCTAGTAATGTCGCCCTCAAAATTGATAACTCCGGCCACAGGACACCTATTGGTACTGCTCTCATTTCCGAAGAACACGTCTGCAAATATCTGAGTCTCATTAACTGACCCATCAAATCCATCATCATGCAGACCTTCAATGTCTTTGTTGAACAGCATCTTTGCTGAGTTATAACTCTTCACAATCCTAAAGTTCTTTGGCCTATCCTTCGTCAAATGCTAACCATCAAAAAAGGAATGAAAGACCAGCACCAAGCCTCGCTACAAAATAAATATCATTGTCAGAATGATCTCTAGTCTGGACGTACAATATCCACTTGTATGCTTCTGCAGAGAAACAGAAACACAAAATTCTCAGAAAGTCGTAGGAATGCAAGAACTCATATCCATGACAAATGAGGCAATAAGCAGTTCTATTCCCACACTACAATAATGTACTTCTGAAAAATCAAATTCCAATAGCTTTTTCACACGGAAGTATAGAAACTTATTGGCCACAATGACTAGTGCCTGTTGCCCGCAATATCAAAGATAAAATCATCATTTCTATCCCCAAGTCCAAAGACACGATACAAAAGATCCAGATTTTTTTTTTTGGGGGGGGGGGGGAGGGGGGTAATTAGTATGTAGCAAATAGTGTTTCAGGGACCAAGGGATACGGTGTTCCTATCTGATTCTTCAGAATTATTATAGACCACAGTGGACGTACAAGCCTCACCTGTTACGGAAACAAGGCTTGATCATTATCAAGTAAAGGATGTCATCTAAGATGTGTTCCACTTCTTGAAAAACTAGATAGTGCAACAAGCTTAATCCTGTGAGAGGGGGCCAGCTGTGGTAATAATTAAACATTGGAGGAGCAGCATGCATTTGAAGCCAAATGAAGCAACATTAAAGGTTTAACAAACATTCGGGTTAAGGAAAACTTATTATCTCCTAATAATAGATCTAGCATCAACTCATGGCATGGAATCAGTGCATCAAAATCAAAGCTTTCTCTGTTTGAGCAGTGGCTTCGAAATCAAAAGTAGACCTTTTTTTCTGTTTTTTTAGTGAAGCGTTAGGACTTTAGAGAATTTGATAATCAGGAAGTTTAGATACTTAGATACTAGTACTACATTTCCTAATTTGATGCATTTTCATCATAAGTGTGCACAGCTGTCCAGAATTGGAACCTCGCCTTTATATACATCCGCAGAAACAGAAAAACACGTGGAACTATAACTCAAATCTAACAAAATGCGCATTGACAGTAAAAAATCTAACAACAAAGAGAGGCGGCTTGAGCAAACCGTTCAGAGTAAGCTAACAGAGACGAAAACGAACGAAAAGGAAACAAACAAGTAACAATTTCAACTGTAATTCAGCCAATTGTATGTAAAAAGGCACAAAATTCAGAAAGTTTCCGGATCCAAAAAGGCGCATCTATATAGATATCAAGTGCTCGATACGCAAAAACAACAAATCCGCCATCGCGTCACATGCAGAAGAAAAAGGGAAAAAAAGGTGAAAATGACCTTGTAACAGCATTTCGGCGAAGCATATTAGGGTTTTTGGACGGTCCGTTGCGGTTAAGGACGAAGAGGATCTGAAGATAAGGTCGTTAAAGGTAACAGAAGAACGCCGTTTAGCTTCATATTGTCATACAAGTCACGAGTAGGGGAGCGAAGGTGTGAAAGGATTTGGCTTTTGCTTCGGGAAGACCGAATCGCGCTCCAAAGTACAAAAGATAGACACCATTAACAGCTGCATCCACTTTCTTCTCTCTTTCTCTCTCTACTCCTTCCGCCATGTGCGTGAGTGACATTATATACTGTTTACCCACTTAGCATTTGTTTGTCTGTTTCTTCAATTTTACACTGCCCAATTATTTTTAAAAAAAATATTTACCGCTTGCTTCCATTTTTTCTTCCGTTTGAGTTTTGTGTTTTTACGAATATCGAATTCTTTTAACTGCGCATTTGCATGGGCAATCTTTCTTCTTCTTGAATGGATAAAAGTTAGGCAGATAGATTGACATTGTGCACTCTGTCTTCTATTTTTATACTTGCATGAAGAACGGATATTATTTTCTTTAAATCCAGCTTGAGCTTTGAATTTAAATGTAATTGTCAATATATAGATTTTCTAAGGCTTTTATTTTATATTAATATGTCACTAATTATAAGATATCCTAGATTTACGCATAAAATAATACATAATGGAAACAAGTAATTGTTTGACCAAAAATTATAGCTCTTGTTCAAATAATAAAATTTATATAAATGAGGGCTAATCTTAGCTAACAATAATACCTCTAAGCAATAACGTAGCATTCAATATTAATGTATAACAATAGATGGCATTTAAGTAAATAGAATAAATGAGTCACCCAAGAAAGGATGGAATCAATGAATGTTGTTCCTTCCGACAATGATGAGTGATGAACAATCCTTTAAATATTTGAGTTATTCTCAGATCTAGTGGAAAAGTGTAGACAAGAATTTTAGAAAAAGGTGATGTTTGTATATTTGTAAAGAGATCTGATTCTCTTTCTCAAGTCAAATTGTATTTTTATAAATAAATATCACATGTCCCGGATCATTGTGTCTCTTTCTATTTATAAGGAACATGTTTCAAAAATCCTATAGTACAAGTGCAGAGAATATTCACTAGAATATTCACTAGAATATTCTCTTATGTATCATATCTTGAAACTAGCCATTACAGCTCTGTTAAGGATGCTAGACCTCAGCCTCGATGATAAGTCCTCGACTTCAGACTTGCGAACTCTTTGACCACAGCCCTTGCTAATAATTAGATTACTTCGACGTGTGGCATCCCAGGAATGTTTTACTAATACCTTTTTGACTAAAGATGGATTTTGACCCATACAGTTTCCATCCGTTTATCGAGGTCGTTCCCCTGGACGAGGTCGATGAGCGGACAACGTCGTTCATAATTTAATTTTATAGGGTTGGTTGAGGTCGTGGTTGTGGAGATAGGTCTGTGTGGCCTTCTAAGGTCCGCATATGTTGAATTTTTTGAATTACCTAGGAAGTCTGTGGAGCCATCTGGTCCAAAAGAAGAAGTGACATCATGAATCATAATGACGTTGTTTCCCGTCGTATTGCATCGATTTAGGTGTGACTCTCAATTTGCTTTGTCGTTTTGATCTATGTGCTAATCATGACCCGTCGTTTCGATTCTGGTGCCTTTGAAACCTTATAAATAGGGGAAGGTTTGTTGGTTTTCAAACTTTTCCAAACCTTTCCTTTTCTTTAAGCAATAGCTTCTCATTCATCTTCTTTGCAAAACTTTTTTACTCCTTGTTTCAGCGACTTGCATCGTTCCTCATTCCCTTTTGCTTGTTATCCTTTTTCTTTACATTGAATCATGTCTAACATACCTTTTGAAGCCGGCGAGGGGAGTCGTATTGCTCCCTTGGTAGTGGTGTTTCCCTCTCATGGGGAGAGTGTTCCTGCCATCGTTGAGGATGGAACCTTCCTGTTTGTGGAGGAGATAATACCACGTAACCCTGACTCCATATCCGATTTCACCAAATCACCAGATTTCGAACTTGGAGCCTTACGGTCAGTGATGACGGTGAAGGAATTGGCGGAGCTTAGGGCTAAATTCGGCATTTCCAATCACATCAAGTTGATCCCGGGCGGGTGGGATATGGTGCAAGTCCAACGTCTTGGGTATTGCGCGCTTTATGTCTACTCGTTCCAAGTTGACTATTCTCTCCCTTTCTTACCGCTGGTCGAGGAGTTTTGTCATTATTATGGTGTTTGCCCAGCTGAGCTTGCGTCGTACGTCTATAAACTTATAAAGATGCTTACCAAGTTTGATGAGATGGTTGGGATCGAACTGAAACTGCGGCATTTAATTCATCAGTTTGCTCCTAGCTTTTATAGGAGATGATGTTGAACCTTCGCCACCGAGGGGGCAAATTCCTGGTGGTGAAGATGGACGGTAAGACCAATCATCAATTTTGGTTCAACTTCTTCTATGTCAGGACCGAGGACGTTGTGACCAATGTCGACGGCTTTCCTGAAGCTTGGAACTATACTTGTAAGTATTTTGGTTTCTTTATCGTGTTTGATCTTGAATTTTGACTTCTCACCTTCTTCTTTTGCAGCCAAGACCTCTCTTCCTCCTTTGGTCGCTCATATTTCCGACTTGGTCGATCGGCTCATCCCCACATCGTAGGGGTTCGTGAATGGCCAAGTTTTTCAAGAAGTTTGGGCATGCTCTCCCTTCGACTGGTAATTTCCTTTTTATTGTCGGTGTCTTAACTCTTTTATTTATTTTCCTTTTCTTATTTTTTCTTAGCTTCGGCTAGGGGATCTACGAGGAGGTCGAGAGCCCCCGCACCCTCATTTTGGAAAAGGAAAGCTACTGCGCCCTCGGTTTTTGCCCCTGCTTCGACTACGGCTGATCCTACCTTTGTTCTAGTCCCTCCTGTTGCTGCACCCGAATCTGTCCCTACTTCGGCCATGGAGACTTCGGTCGTGGAGGCTTTGTCTTCGCCCTTATATTCTCTCGTCGACGAGGACAACGAACCTTTCCTGGCGATGGAGATTTGATGTCTTGTAAGAGAAAGATCGGGACGTCGGGGAAGAGGGGCCGATCATCGATGTAGGAGATTGTGGCTTTGTCTTTCGGGAAACGGCCACAATGCATATTGGGGAGATCCTAGAGGCAAGTCCCGAGGCCCTTTATTTGGAGGATACGAGTATGCGACCTGTGGAGGGCGCAGTCGAAGGAGTGGTAAGCAATGACGGCCATGTTCTTCCGAGATGCAGAGAGGCCTCGTCTTCCAAGATTTTAGTGGACGTGCCTTCTTTGACTGGTGATGGAGGGAAGGTTGTTGATGAGGAGGACGTTGGATCCGATTCCAACATGGACGTAGATGAATTGAGGATGATCGACGAGAGGCTTACTCAGCAAGTGAGGTTAGAAGATGGTTCAAGGAATATATCGATCCCGATGGACCGTAATCTTCTTATGGATACCGAGAAGATTATCCCCTCTCTCGTCCCTCTTTGTTCAGATATTGAGGGTAGGACCCTCAAGACCATAGATGACAGCGCCCTGTTAAATAACACTGTCGGTCTCGCCTTTCAGGTAAGTACATTTACTGTCTGTTATTTTCCTTAGGTTTGGTTTGTGACACCACCATAGATAACAACGCTCTATCAAATAACACTGTCGGTCTCGCCCTTCGGGTAAGTGTATTTGTTGTTAGTTATTTTCCTTAGGTTTTGTTTTTTACACCTTGTGCGTCTCAAGGTGACGTATAATGAATATGAGACTTATTAACCATGAGTTAAATGAGTGTAAAGTCATAATATGACTATATATTATGTTTGGATATAAAATATAAAGTTTGGGAAAAATCAAATTTAAGTTGCAGAAAAACCGCCTAAGGATTTGCCTTGTAACGAAGCTTTTTGAGCAATATATGTCGTGTGACATATGAGGTCTTCTTAGGACATATTATATACGAAATTGAAGGTCTTAAAATTAGTTACCAATGCTCCTAACAATTCATTTATACAACATCCGGATAAAAAGATATAAGCATCGGAAGAAGGGCCAATGCTAGGGTGCCAAGCTAACACCTCTTTGACTTTACAAAAATGGATATATATATATATATATATANCATAGACCAAGACCAAAATAAGACCATAAACTTACTCTTAAGCTTTCTGCAAGGGTTTCAAAAAGGATTAACATCGCGGATACGAAATCAAGAAGTGATAACATTAGAACGTTTCCTACGACATAAGTATCATTATATTGCCTCTCTTTTTCTTTGTAGTTTGAGTTTTGGAAGGTACTTCATAGTTAAGAAAATGCCTAATTTCTGTATTTAAGTTTTTAAATATTAAGGAAGGTTGATAAATTCGTTTTCTAATAGTTAGAACTGACTGAACGATAATTGGGAGCCGTGAGTTCGATTTATTCCACTTTTAGTGGACTGTTTTGTAGTCCAATCATGTTGACCTATTATGTTTTTGATTTATAGAGTTTGGAAGGATAAAAGGGCGTGGATAAATGCCACGTGTGGAAGGGTAATGGACTGGTCGCTCGTCGTGAAAATTTCAGGCTAATTGATAACTTGTTGATTGAGTATGTTATGGTATATTTGGGTTTTGTTGTATTAAAGGTCCCGAATTGAAGTTAGGTTGTTTTTGAGTTGCTGATTGTATTGTGTTGTTGTCTCGCCTATAGTAGGCTTGAGGGAGCATTAGAATTAGGGGAAATGCTGTCCATTTTTTGTTACAGATTAAGTTACTTTCGTTATATAAATGAGAGAGTAATTCGTAACTTGACATTAGCTTCACTGTCGTTGTTGTAAATTAAGGTGTAGTGAACTGATTTTGGCATTTTTATTGGACAGAGTTCTATAAAGTATGTTAAGGCTATCCCTTCTTTCTTTTTGACATGATCCATATGATACAAATTAAATGAGCAAATGTGCAACGTTCATAAATGGCTCTATTCTTATAAGTACTAGGGTTTCCTATGGTCTTGATTCCCCATATGTCCTGTTATTATATCGTTTTCTCATGGGTCTCAAGAAATACGTAAGTTGATAAAGTTTATTTCGTGATATTAGCCGAAGGCATACTGATCTTATGACATACCGAAAGGTCTTATTGACTTACATTTTATGTGTTGCATTCATTTATACATGTACATTGACCCATGACTAAATGGGGTTATATACACATATATTACATGTATATGGGTATGAGGAAAGGTTACGGCGTTATATACGCACCGCCATCTGATCAGCTGGTATAGCTTATGATTTCGCCCGCA